CAACCAAAATACATTAGTTTATCTGCAGAAAGATTTTAATAGAAAACATATGATAGTTACTATATCAGTATCAGAAAGAAAATAACAAAGAGTTGACCGTTTACAAAGCTAGTCAGCCAGTTTCTTTTACCTCCGTTGATGTTTTCATCTCCGTGAAGTATGACTTGACGTACCAACTGGAAGCAATAACTTGTCTGCAACAACATTTTGTCCTGTAAGCAAAACAAGGCTTTCCATGTATTTATGAGTATAAAATGAGCTTTCCTTGCCACAGATTCACATATCCTTAATCAACATAGTCTCTAGATTATAACTAGCTCGTTCCCTTGTGAGGCCAATAAAATTTTGCCATTCTCCCAAAACCCAATTACGAATTCTATCCCTCTTATAGAATCAATATTATAGAACTTAGTCCAAGACTCATAACTCGTACTCTTTCATTGTCCAAACACACCAAGACCAACTATCATCATCCCTAATCACACCAAGTGATCCCCCTACAACTGTAACAGATAGATATCTAGCACACACGTGCTAAATCATCCGGTAACAGTATCTTCCCAGAAACCTCATCATCCATGTGTAACGAAGCAATGAAACTATAGAAACAATTACTCCGATCCAGTGTACACTACTTTCTATGAAAGCTTGGGACCACATAAATTCTTTGATTATGTAACTATCATTAAAGTGCACCCTTCGCCAAGTGCTCAAGTTCATCGAGTACATTTCGACCTCTGTAGGAACCTTGCAAGAAAAATCATTAGTTTTATGGTACACCAACCTCACAACCTTGATATCGCAACTGGTAGCACCAAATCCAAGAACAACACTGTCAAACGTTCCCAAATTAATGGTGGGAAATAAAACAATATGCTTTCGAACACAAGGGTTCCATAAAATAATGGAATCTGGAGGGTCAGCAAAGAATTCCTAGTATTTTCTTAGGTATGTTTTTACCTGGAATTTAATTTATATGTGCTATATTTTAATATTTTGGAAGTCTAGGGACTAAATATATATAAAGTAAATTTCAATATTATTGGATGTTGAAATGTAGATGTTGACGGAGCGACAATAAGAATATCAATATTGTACTCATTGGATAGGTCGTAATTAATCATGCATGTTAGGCTCGAGAAAAAGTTAATTTGGATTAGTGAAGCCCAAATTATCGAGGTTGAAAGATATAGCCTTAAATTATTATTATTCTTATTATTATTATTATTATTATTTTATTGAGTATGTATTGAATTGGTTAGTTTCACACGTAAGATTCTTGGTAGGTGGTAAGTTGATGATTGATTTGTTTATTAAATAAAATAAAATGAAAAGAAAAGAAAAGAAAGAGAGATAGAGAAAGGTATGGGGGAGCCGCAATCACGTGAGTGGTTGTCGAGAAACAAAATTTTATTATTAATTAATTAGAATTTTGAATTAAATGGTTGTCACCACGTGTACGGTAATGGTTTGCTTTTGGGTGATTGGTTAGTTGACAAGTACGTGATCCTATATTGATAAGGCTTGGTCTCCTATTTTGTTTCAAAAACAGTTTTCTCAACTTTATCTAAATACTTACTCTCACACACGTTTTTCTATGAATATGACTACATATGTGTATGGAATGAACCGCACGAGAATCGAGACACAAAAATATATTGGTGCACGTACACATTGTCAATAAAGGCAGAAAAAGAAAGGAGAAAGGAACATGATTTTTCTTTTGTTTTCATATTAAAGCAATTTAACAAGGTAGGATATTGAGGTGCAGTGTATTTTTAAAATCCCCGTCTAAATTTTTTTTTATGCTGATGAATTTTATACTCATGAAAGTTAACGCTATGATATGATATGCTATGATGTGAATGATATGACCATTCTGGTACAACAATATGATATGATATGAGCTCTTACCGAATTTTAAAGATATGAGACGGTATAATTTTCTGATACATGTTTTAAAATTATTATACGGGATCGCATCATTAATTTTATATCATACTGAGTATTTTAATGTACTCACTATTTTCTCTACTCCTCACAGATTAGAACGGATCGTTGGTTTGCGGGCGATGCGGTGGAGTTGTGATGCCAGAAACTATGAAATTCAAGATAAATAAATTCTGAATAATATGACTAGTAAATTTTATTTATTTATTTGCATTATTTTAGTTTTATCTTCACGTTCAATTTGAAATTTAATATTTGTGACATGGTTCAGTTATTTATGTTTTCCATAGACTTTATTTATTTTATAGATGGAACTAGAAAGATTTTCATGTAGAATGTTTGACATAATTTATTTAATTATGAAATAAAGGTTTTAGTAACGATTTTAAATCTTTAAATTTTGGGTCATTGCTGACCCTAGACAATTCGTTAGCCATGTCACCGTTGCCTTTAGGGGTTACTCAGTGAGTAACGTCCAACGTTTGAGAAGTTTAGTGGTCAAATCTCGATATTTTAAAGTTTAGTGAGTAATCAAAGACGAAGAAATAAGTTCAATGACCATTGGGACTATTAACTCGAATTTAGATGTTTAGACTCAAATTTCATACCATCACAGCAGTCACTCTTCTATCCAAAATAAATTCTATTATTCATTTTAGAGGGTATTTGACAGCCATTTTTAATGGGTTCAATTTATTATATAAATTAAATATAATGATATAAATGTGGAAAACATGTGATTGTTAATAAATTTAAATGAACCTCTAATTTATATTTTATACTTCAACTTTTAATTTGTTTTTCTTGTAGTTAACATCTTCAAGTTATATTTTTCAAATAAATATATACATTTCTATTGATTAACGTAAATCATTCAAAAAACACCATTAAACTTGTTACGTGTTTGCACACTTAGGCAACCCACTGGGGCCCACAGTCAACTCATGCCGAACCACGTGACACTCAAGTCGAGGTGATTTGTATAGCTAAGGCTCACAAATCGAGGTCCACAGAAGCCTAGGCCCATATATACCGAAGCCCATCTATCATTGCCTCTTGAGGAGCTTTCGAAGCTCATATGCTGAAGCCCTTTGAAGGTGGACGAGCCCTGTTGGTCGAAGCTCTGTAGCCGAGGTAGCAACCTCCGAATTATAAAGCAGCATCTTCCATAGACACTTCTCCCAAGAGATTTTCTGCACAAAGATCTTACTTGAATGATTGATAGGAAGTTTGTCATGAGTGTAAATGTTAAGTCTTGTCACTAGTAGAGGCAGCTTTGCCAATCAATAAATGTATAGCAGGTTAGGTGCGGCTGATGCCTATAATTTGGCATGTAAATTAACTGGATGAGGCCACGTGTACCCTGAACCAAAGGTCACGATTTAACTTGTGACACTATAAATACTTCCCCATGTACCCCATACAAAGACTAATGCAAGAATTAATACAAGAAACCATATTTTATT